CCAGCACTCGTGAGGCAGAGGCAGGCAGATCTCTGTGAGTTAAAGGCCAGCCTGGGCTACCAAGTGAGTTCCAGGAAAAGGCACAAAGCTACACAGAGAAACCCTGTCTTGAAAAAAAAAAAAAAAGCTGAGTTTCGAGGAGAACAGGACACTGGAAGAGCTGGAGCAGGCTGGTGTGTTCATGAGGTTCTGTTCTTAGAGAACTGTCATGACCTGACCTATCTGCCAATCCCTGGAAAGTTACTACAAGACCAACCTTTAAGATGTCTTCATTTGTGTATTTACAGTTGTGTGTGTGTGTGTGTGTGTGTGTGTGTGTGTGTGTGTACACCTGAAGAGGGCATCAGATCCCCTGGAACTGTAGTTATAGATGGTTATGAGCCACCCAGTATCAGTATGCTTATTGTATGTATATATGTATGTGTGTATTTGTCTGTGTGTATGTATGTGGGGGGGGAGGGAAGGAGGGAGGTCACAGTGCACATTTGGAGGTCAAAGGACAACTAAGTAGTAGGAGTCAATTCTCTCTTTCATCACATGGGTCCTGGGTATCGAACTCAGGTCCTCAGGCTTGGTAGCAAGAGCCTTCCCATCCTGAGCCATCCCACTGGCCTGAAAATCATCTTTTCTAGCAAAAGAAGCTAGGGTCATTTGATACCCACCAACAAAAGGATGATGCTACACCCCCACTTTTCTATGTGGACAAAACTAATTTGAAACAGATGTGAGCTGTGAATTAAAGTTCTTAGAAGAAAGTTAGGCATAAGCCTGTGTGACTTTGAACTAGACAACAGTTTCTTAAAAACAACATCAAAGCAGTTAGAAGCAGGTACTGATCTTCCAGAAGACCTAAGTTTCACACCAGGAGTTCACAACCACCTGTAACTCCAGCTATAGAGAAACCGAAGCCTTCCTCTAGCCTCTATGGGCACATACAATGCCATACAGTCACACAGACACATATAGAAATAGGGTTTTAAAAAAATAAATCTTTAGGGGGTCAGTGGTGGCTCACGCCTTTAATCCCAGCACTGAGGAGGCAGAGGCAGGCGGATCTCTGTGAGTTCTAGGACAGCCAGAGCTACACAGAGAAACCTTGTCTTGAAGAACCAAATAAATAAATAAATAAATAAATCTTTCAAAAAAGAAAGAGCATTGAATGCACAAGCAATAATTTTAAAAAAATTAGACTTCAGCAGGGTGGTGGTGGTGGTGGCGGCGGCGGCGGCGGCGGCAGCAGCAGCAGCAGCGCACGCCTTTAATCCCAGCACTAGGGAGGCAGAGACAGGTGGATCTCTGTGAGTTCAAGGCCAGCCTTGTCGACAGCGTGACTTCCAGGACAGGCACCAAAACTACACAGAGGAACCCTGTCTCAAAAAAACAAACAAAAAAATTAGACTTTGTTTATTGCTTTGTTATTGCTTTGTTTGGGCATTTTTTTTCCTTATTGATCTTTTTCTTGTGTTTTCTGTTTTTGTCTTCTGGGGACATTCTGTGTGTTTCCTGGTTTTGTTTTGTTTGTGTCTGTTGTTTTAAGAAAGAGAGAGAAAAGAAGGGTGTGGAGTTAGATGGGTAGGGAGGTGGGGAAGACCTGGGAGTAGTTGGGGGAGAGGAAAGGTGAGATCAGAATATATTGTATGAAAAAAGTTTCAATTAAAATAAATATATGAATGAAAATTAGACTTCAGAAAGATTTAAAACCTGCACTTTAGGGCTGCCATCTAAAAGAAACAGAACAATACAATAGGAGAAGATATAGAATAGGAGAAGATATCTGTAAGTCTTATATCTGATAGAGACAGATATTCAGAATACTTGAATGCTTAATAATTAAAAAATAATAAGATCAGGAGCCCAATTTTAAAATGAACACAGGATTTGAATGAGCATTTCTCCAATGGCCAGGAAGCACATTTAAAAAGATTCTTAGCACCATTAGTCACTATGGAAACACAAACCAATACCTCAGTGAGAAATGGTTTCACCTACTGAGGTGGCTAAAAACCACAGGGAGAATAATAAGTGTTGACAAGGATGTGGCAATGGGAACGCATAAACCGGTGGTCAGAATGTGGAATCGTGCAGCTGCTTTGGAAGGCACTTTGGCAGTTGCTCAAAGAGCTAAACATAGAACTGCTGTGTGCCTAAGTGGTTTCATCCTGTGTACACAGCCAAGAGGATTGAAAACAAACATGAAAATACCCAAAGCAGCAAGCTCATGAGAGTCAAAGCGTAGAGCTATTTGTTACTGAGCGAAGGGTGTTGCAGCTGCAGGACAGAATACTGCCAACCACAGAAAGGAATGGGTACTATTGTACTAGGCCTTGGGTGGACTCGGAAAGCATTTTGGTACATGAAAGTAGCCAGGCAGAGCACTGAGGACGGAGTTCGGTGGTGGGGCCCTTGCATAGCATGTGCAAAGCCATGGGTTCCAGTCCTAGCCCTGCCCCCTAGAAAGGATAGGATAAATAGACAGACAGACAGATGATTGATAGATAGATAGATAGATAGATAGATAGATAGATAGATAGATAGATAGATAGATAGATAGATAGATGATAGATAGATTGATAGATTGATGGAATAAAGGATAAAGGATGGAAGGAGACCGAGGAGCGAGTCAGAGGCAAATCCACATATTTTATAATAACACTTATCTGAAATGTTCAGAAAAGCCATAAGGACGGAGGCAGCCTGGTGGGGAGGGGGAGGGGAAAGGAGAGGAGGTAGAGGGGGACTGATGCTTGGACTGTGGTTGGGGAAGGCCTCCACAGAGGGACAACTGAATAGTCCTAAAGAACCAGGGTGAGCCACACAGACCTTCCTGGCAGAGACTAGAGCCGGGAAGAGCCTGAGGTGTGGAAGATGAGGTGAGCAGGTGGGCAGACACGCAGTGAGGGTTTTGAGGTGTGGAGGATGAGGTGGGCAGGTGGGCAGACACGCAGTGAGGGTTTGGGGGTGTGGAGGATGAGGTGAGCAGGTGGGCAGACCCACAGTGAGGGTTTGGGGGTGTGGAGGATGAGGTGAGCAGACCCACAGTGAGGGTTTGGGGGTGTGGAGGATGAAGTGGGCAGGTGGGCAGATCCACAGTGAGGGTTTAGAGGTTTCTCCTAAGAGAGAAGCAAGATTTGCAGAGCCTTAATGGTGGATGACCAGTTGGGGCTCAGCTATTGTTTCTCTAAGGTCTCTCTTGCCACAGCATGGCGAAGGGGCTGGGGGTGGTCACAGGTACAGAATGGAGGGGCTCATCAGACCAGTGAGGAGGGACGAAATGGACACAGGGAGCTAGACAGAGGCAAGTGGGCACTTGGAGAACTATCCAGGGGCCTGAGCCAAGATTTGCTGATGCACAAAATGTTCAGCTCCAAGCAAGAGCTTTTTCCTCTGCTCCTCTTAAAGGCTTTTATTCTTTTCTCATCCATTTGCAGGGAGAGCAAATGCAGGTATTTTTAGAAAGTCTTCAGGAGCGAGAGCTGAAGAGAGGAGGTGAAAGTTCCCCCCACCTTGTGAGCTCTCCAAACCAAAGCACAGAACATCTACAGAGAAGGCGGCACAAGAATGTATCTGACAGCTCCGTCCATAACAGCCCTGACAGGGCTGTGCCTCCCCAAATGTCCATCGGCACTGGGGTGTGTCTCCAAAGCACTCTGCTGTTCCAAAGGTGAGACAACAGAAAGATCAAGTGAGCGAGAGGGCACGTGCGTGATTCCTCACACACGCGGCTCCTCCACAATCAAGGCCATTCACGGCAGCATAAATGTACACAGCAGCTTTCTGCAGCAAGGGCAGAGACTGGATGGGGAGAGACACGTGGAGATCTAGGAAGATTCTATTATCTTTCTTGATAAAGCTGGAAATCTGCTGTATCTAGATTTGAGTGATGGCTTGCAAGTGTATGCAGTTTTAACAATGTCATCCCACTGGGCACAGTGGGGGAGGGGGAAGCAGGAAGATGGCAGGGTTGAGGGCAGACTGGGCTACCTAGCAAGACCGTCTGAAGAAACAAAGCTGGGGCCAAGGAGAGTTCCAACCAGTAAAGTACTCACCTTGCAAGCATAAGACTCAAGTGTTATCTCCAAACACAGGTGAAAGGTTGAATATGGTGGCACTCACCTGCAGTCAGCACCGTGGCGACAGAGAGATGGACCCCTAGGGCTCACTAGCCAGACAGCCTGGCCTACTTGTCTCAAAAAAACCAGACGAGCCAGACATGGTGGTGCACACCTTTAATCCCAGCACTCGGAGGCAGAAGCAAGAGAGTGCTGCCCATGCTATATGGTGAGACCCTGCAAAACAAGGGGCTGGAGAGATGGCTCAGTGGTTATGAGCACTGGTTGTTCTTCTAGAGGACCCGGGTTCAATTCCCAGTGCCCACAGGGCAGCTAACAGCTATTTGTAACTCCAGTCCCAGATGATCCAACACCTTCTTCTGGCCTCCTCAGGCACTTCATATACATGGTGCATGAGATATTCATGCAGGCGAAACACTCATCACATGAAATAAAAATAAAATCCCCAAAAAAACCTTTTTTAAAAAAGGTGAATGGTGACTGAGGAACAACACCCAAGCTTGTCCTCTGGTCACCACACACATGCTCACATATCCCGGCATAGCTTGTTAGGTTGCTGCTGCTGGGATAAACACGTGACCAAACATAACTTGGAGAGTAAAGCATTTATTTCATCTTACACTTCTAGGTCAGTCAGGGCAAGAACTAAGGGCAAGAGCTCAAATCAGGAACCCACTGCTCACTGACTCACACTCAGCACATGCTCAGTCTTCTTAACAAGTTTGACCTCCTGCCCAGGGGTAGCGCCACCCATACTGCACTGGACCCTCATTATTGTGTATTAATTGGCAGTCAAGAAAATGCCTCATAGACATGTCTATAGGCCAATCTGATGGAGGCAACTCCTCAGCTGAGACCACCTCTTCCCAAGTGACTCGTTTCAAGTTGATAATAACAACTAACCAGTATACATGTGTATCTGTCACACACACATGAACGCATACAAAAAAAAAAAAGAAGTGTTACTGATCACCAGTGGAAGCTGTGTGCACACCATATGCTCCTGATGTCTGTGTCTCCTCCCCACAATCCACAACCCCAGCCTAATCTCAAACAAAACACCAGCGAACCCCTAATGGAGAGACACTCGGCAAAAATTGCTGTCAAGATCATGACAAATAAGAGGGGACTGAGAACTGTTAGAGCAGATGAACCTAAGAAGTCGTGACAGCCGAACGCACTCTGGAACCCTGGAACAGAAAGAGCCATGCGTGTGAAATCCAAGTACACCATGGAACTCGTTCCTAACCACGCACCCATGCTGGCGCCTTACTTTTGACAACTGTATTATGGTAATGCAAGACATTAACATCAGGGGAAAACAGCTGGAGAGAACGTGGGAACTCGGGACTACATTTGAAACATTTTTCTTTCTTTTTTCTTATTTAAGAAATGTTTTTATTCATTTTACATAACAAGTACAGATCCCCCTCTCATCCTCCTCCTTCCTCTCTCCCCCAGTCTCCCCCACCCCGACCCAAGCCTCATACCGTCCTCCAAAAGGGTAAGGCCTCCCATGGGGAGTCAGCAAAGCCTGGTACATTCATTTGAGGCAGGACCAAGTCCCTCCCCCTCATCAAGGCTGAGCAAGGCATCCCACCATAGGTAATGGGCTCTGGAATGCCAGTTCCTGCACCAGGGATAGATCCTGATCCCACTGCCAGGGCCCCTCAAACAAACCAAGCTACATAAAATATTTATTGTTAAAAAAAAAAGTTGTGAAGGTGTGATTCTGCTTCCCACCAGTTTTCTTCCTGGTACCCCAGAAGTGGCCCCCTGACCTTGGCTGTTCATTGCAATCTTGGGATCCTGTGCTGAATGGACCAGAACACACATCATGAGGTCTAGTCAGCTTGGATGTTCTTTTGGGTGACTTCCACTTTGAGTCTTAGAAAACACCAAGCTTGGCCACACTCCTTAGATTCCCTCTCCACCCTGGGTAACTTCCAGATATCCTCTAAGACCTACTGACATTTCATATCCTCTGTGAACCCTTTCCTAACTCCTATAGCCTGAATTATGTATATTTACCCATCCATCCATCCATCCATCCATCCATCCATCCATCCATCCATCCATCCATCCATCCAATCAATCATCCATCCAACCAACCATCCATTGGTGCAGTGAAAGGCCAAGACTATAGGGCTGGGGGGGTGTGTGGGTCTGTGGAACACAGTGGGTGAAGAATCAGAGGGTAGAGACAGAAGACAAGTAGTGTCCTTGTGTTTTCCAGAGCACATAGGTAAATTGGTGGCCCAAGAGAAAGTATTTCCATTTTCCAGATGCAGAAAATAGGGCTCCAAGCAGCTACTAGGACATCCAGCAGGAGGGTAGCAGGGCTGGGATGAACCCAGGCAGGTGACTTTGGGTTGGATGGATGGATGGATGGATGGATGGATGGATGGATGGGTAAATATACATAATTCAGGCTATAGGAGTTAGGAAAGGGTTCACAGAGGATGTGGAATGTCAGTGGTTCTTAGAGGATATCTGGAAGTTAAGCAGGGTGGAGAGGGAAACTAAGGAGTGTGACCAAGCTTGGTATTTTCTAAGACTCAAAAGGGAAGTCACCCAAAAGAACATCCAAGTTGACTAGACCTCATGATGTGTGTTCTGGTCCATTCAGCACAGGATCCCAATGAACAGCCAGGATCAGGGGGCCACTTTTGGGGTACCAGGAAGAAAACTGGTGGGAGGCAGAATCACAGCTTCACATTTTTCATGCCACAGGGAGTAAGGAAGAGAGAAGGCAGAATCCAGGTCAGGGTGAGGGCCATCCAGAAAGAAGAAAGTCCAGGGACCCAGAAGGGAAATGGTGTCAAGGCTGAGTAATGAAAGGGGCAGAACCCAAGAGACTCAGGTGTGTATGGCTCCTGTAAACAGCTGTACAGTTCACACCTGACACACACACACACACACACACACACACACACACACACACACACACACACACACACGCAGCCTTCCCTCTCCAGCCAGCCCCTGCACAGCACACACCCAGCATCTCGCAGAGAGTCTCCGACCTTATTAAAATAACACTGCCGCACACGAGCTGGAAAGGCAAAGCCCAGCAAAACTCCAATTTCTACTGTATTGGGTTCCCACAGGCGAAGGCAAGCAGGAGCGTCTAGAAGGAGCTTCAAGCTCCAGTGGTTCTCCTTTTCTCAGGAGCAATTGCTACTTTCATAAACGCTGGGTGGGGGCAGGAGTAAGAGGAAGATAGTGAAGACAGACAGGGGCTGAGCTATTGCTCATTATAGGCAAGTCCTGATATGGAGAGGCAGAAAAAAAAAAACAAAAAAAACCCAGACGGTGCTATCTTCAAATATCACAGTGTTGTGACTTCTAACGGCATCCACCGAATCTTGTTTCATTACATCTGCCAAAAGGGAGAAAAAAAATTGAATTACCATGCTAATGTCTTCTCTTTTGGTGAAATCTGTGATTCAGGTACGTGGATATAAAATACATCATTAGTCGCTTTTAAACTTGTCTCTAATGATGAAAACACATCTTGGGGCATCAAGGGGAGACAGAGCCCAGCCTAGCAGTGGCGGCGGCGGAGCCTTGCAAAAACCTTAATGTGACAATACAGTTTCTTTTTCCCTCTGAGATGACAGTTAATTCTAGACCAGGAAGGCTGTCAAAAATGCTTAGTTCTGCTCCACTTGAGTTAATTACCGGCCCTGGGGCAGGCTGCCCTCCACTCCTCTGCTAATGGGGCTGGGCTCCAGGTAAAAAATCCATTTGCAAGAATGTTTTCCTTGCTCCAGATCTAATTTATTGAATATCAAATATTTATGCCAATGCAATTAAAGTGACAACATTGCTCTCCCCTCGCCCCAGCCCCCAAGCTTCAGCAAGTACAGGCTGGCTGATGGAATGCTTCAACCAATCCTGTATACTATGGCGCAGGGGTAGAGGATGTGGGGGGGGGGGGCGGCAGGTATTTGAGTTTCTCAAAACCTCTTGGCCCTGCAAAATGACCTGAGCTTTTTCCACCTTTTTCTGGAAGCAGGTGATTGAGCTGAGGAGCTGAGGCAGGAGGATCATCTGGGTTTCAACTCAACCAACACCCTTTGCCACAAACTGTTGCAGTGTGCTGCTGCTGAGTGAGGCAGAGCAGTCACTGTGCCTGGCCCCAGCCCTGGCCCAGTCTGACAACGGAGACAACACAGAGCACTTGTGGAAATGTGGCTAACACTGACAACACAGATAAGCTGGCTATCTTGGGTAGGCTTCTCCTGCTGTGACAAAACACCACGACCAAAAGCAACTCAGGAAGGAAGGAGTGTTTTGTTTGGTTGGTTTTTGATTTTTGGTTTTAGTTCATATTTCTAGGTAACAGTCCATCACAGAGGGAAGTCAGAGCAGGAACTCAAGGCAGGAACCTAGAGGCAGGAACTGAAGCCAAAGAAACCATGAAGGCATGCTGCTTATTGGCTTGCTCCTCATGTCTTGCTCGGCCTGATTTCTTACAGCACCTGAAACTACCAACCAAGGGTGGCACCACCTAAAGCAAGCTTGGTCTTGTCACATGAATCACTGATTAAGGAAATGCCCTGCCAGCTTGCCTACAGCAAGATCTTGTTTTTGTTTTTTGTTTTTGTTTTTTTCTAGGAATTTTTTTCCTTTTATTTTATTTTATAATACCATTCAGTTCTACATATCAGCCACGGGTTCCCTTGTTCTCCCCCTTCCTGCCCCCCTCCTCTTCCCCCCAGCCCACCACCCATTCCCACCCCCTCCAGGGCAAAGCCTCCCCCGAGGACTGAGATCAACCTAGTAGACTCAGTCCAGGCAGGTCCAGTCCCCTCCTCACAGACTGAGCCAAGCATCCCCAGCAGGATCTTATGGTGGCATTTTCTCAATTGAGGTTGCCTCCCCTCAGATGACTTGTGGCAAGTTGACAAAAACAAAACAAAAAAAAACCTAGTCAGCACACTGAGGAAGCTCCATGAGAGTTTGGGAGTCCCCACGGCTTGAAAATTGTCAAGCTTCCTTCCACAGTTGAACCTACCTGCTGAAGGTTCTAGGTCCAGGCCCAGAAATCTGGTGGCTTGAGTTTGAAAGCCAGAACACGTGGTGGAAGGAGGGAACCAACTCCCAAATGCCGTCCTCTCATCTCCACACTTGCACCGTGGCATCGGCACATACACAATTAATTGATTTAAAAACAGGTTTTAAAAGAAAGAAAGTTCTGGCTCCAACAAGGTGTGTTATATTTTTTTCCAAAACTCTAGGCACTCCCCAAGAGGGCCTCAGCCTGCCTAGACCATGAGGCCTCAGGGCAAGACAGATTCCAGATTTATCCTCCAAGGTCTCCTAAGTCATAGATGGATGATTTGACATCTACCTCAAATAGAGGCGACTAGTGATGATGGACCAATAACAATCCAATGGGTACCCTTCCCCAGGGATGCCTGACAAGATGGAAAAGAGGGAGGCCTTTTTCTTCTCTTTCTTTCTTTCTTTCTTTCTT